TTCTCCTTTCGTCGGTGCTGGTGTCGCCTGGTTAGCTTTTTTAAACTTTGGGTAAACTGGTAACGCTAGTTCAGGAAAGTTGATTTACGAAATTTCCTGTCCGTGATCTTGACTTTCGTGCCACTGTACCTGACGTGATATTTTAAAGATGTTTTACTACTGCCTGAGCATAGTGTTACTGTATTGGAATTAGGAAGCCCACCAAAGGAACAGCTATTCAATTTTAACTCTTTAAAACCTCAAGACATTTGATCTCAATACTAATAACAATTTTTGTGCTTGCCTAGCTGTAAAATGGATATTAGATTTGGAATATTACACCACCAAAATCCGTTCTCCTTCCACTTTTCTTTTATAATCTTAACTGTTCATCACATTAAACATAACAAGAAATAATATTAACAGAGGGACAGTGAAAAAATATCGAACGGTGACATTGATTTTGCCAATCTTTTCATGATGGGCTCAACCTGCTAGTTTTTCGTACGACAAAGAACTTGGTGCAAAACCTGAAGTTACTGGTTTTTTGGAGTAGAAATGCTTTTTGCTTCTTTTTCATTGGGCTTTAAGCCCATGTAAGAGGCTGCAAGAGTTCAGGATCCCATGACTCCTCGTCAGGTCAACCCCTGCGAACAAGCTCCTTAGCACATGGTAGTTAGGCATCACATGAGCCCAAAGTTAAAAATCGTAATAATCTTAATTTATTGATTTAATTTAAACTAGTAATAATTTAAACTTGATATTAAATAAAATTATAAATTTAATTATTAATTTTCATTCTAATTTAAATTCAAAATGATCCAAACTTAAAATAACCCAAATGCACCCGTTTAGGAGCTGTAGCGGTCCAACTAACAAATGCTTGCTAATGGCTAATGGGCCTTTCTAGCATAACCGAGCTTAAATTGTCTTGGGCTAATAAAAAAAGTTCAGTTTATAAACATGAGCCCATACTTTTACTGGTTTGAAGGTCATTGTAGTATTTTGAGAACACATGATAGCTACGCATGAATTTTGAGTATTTTTCCTTTTTGCATAAAGATATCAAGTTATGAGGCCATTGGAAGGACAGGTGAGGTGATTTTTAGGTTCCAAACTCTATACATTTGACTAATAAGGTTTATATGTGTCAAAAGTAGTGATTTGGGTTACGTTGACAGCAACTGCTTCCAAAGCAATTTTGAGCTTTGATCTAAGCCCAATATCCCTGTGGGATAGGATACTGAAAAGAGAACAAAATGGCATTGCAATTAGGCCCTCAAATCCATGTGCTTTCACAAAGGTTAAATTTGAGGTCCACCTTTAATCATTTTGGGTATGCAATGGCAATACTATGGGCTTAGGTTGCAGCGTGCTTCTTCTACAAGGAGGGGTGCATAATTGGACACTTCCTCCAGACTCCAGAGCCCTCTGTGAGTTTTAATAAAACTGGAGCACTGAAATTCTTTTAGCTATAAAGTTAATGGAGCATCCACACTTCCTTTAGTCTCTAATCTTCCAAGCATGGTTTTCAGAAGTATATCGGTATTTCATTTTTCTTCAAATACAGATGTACAAACGTCAACAGGCATATATTTCATGGCCTCCATTTCCCTCCCATGACATTCTGGGTTCACTAGTTGCGGGCTTGAATTCAATAGATGGCATCAATAAAAAGAATTTGTGAAACAAAACCCTGGTGCTCTACCACTCAGCTGCTTTATTATCAGGCCATGCTATGTTCAGCTTGCCCTTGAGGATGAGGACACACCAATGCTTTGATTCTGGTGATGCAGAGGCTTCAAGATGCGCTCCGGCGGACATGGTGCAGGAGCAGGATGTGCAATAAAGGTAGGTGTTTCCTCACCAGGCATCAGAACTGATACCCCATTTGCATAAATTGTCATCTGCATTAACAGATAAATGAATGTTAACCGACAAAACAGGCACGCACATGCAGTGCAGGTAAGGATACGGAGACACAAATCAACCTGGATAGCCCTGTTATGCGGTTAATGAGCAAGTCGGTCAGGAGACCAATTCTAACTAGGTAAGAGCATAGAACCAGTGAAGATGACAGGTATTCAAGAAACTAGACAAAGTCTTCATGATGGTTGAATTTTTTATTTGATTCTTCTTACATTAACCAAGGCAGTTGAAAACCATAGCAGAGACAGAAGGATGAGTTTGCCATTCTTGGGATACAAGCATAGCATATAAAATAGTGGAGGTAAGATAAGAATAATTTTCTAGCCAGCATCATTCCCCACTAAAATAAAACCATTGTCTACTGACGTTTCTACCTTTTTCCACAAATCAAGGGGTTCTAACAACCAGACGACATTGTACATTGAAAATAGGCAGAAGTAGCCAAGTAGCAATGCTGAGATGATATATTAAATAAACAATATTTAAAAAGGGACAGATGAGGGCTTGCCATGCTTTGATCATAGGAGGTGGGGAACATATGGAAAATGGGGAATCCACAGCACGATATGTTAATATTCTATACTTCAACTTAGCAACACATCAGGTGATGATGTTGCCCAATAGTTTAGCGAACTTGCATCTAAGCAACAAATGAGCCTAGAAATCTTGACCATTTTGTCAATGCACTTAATGCAAAAAAAACAACATGCCGGGATGGCATCGAGAGGAAATAGCTTATATGGTCTTAAAATTTTTTGGAAGGTTTAGTTGCTCCTGTTAAGAAGATAAGGTGGCGTGCATTTGACCTTTATATGCAAACCTGATTGGATGGATGCTCAAAAAGTCAAAATGATTGAGCACTATAATGGAAGGATTTAGATATCAAATAAACAAAGTTAGGCAAAACTTCAATTCTGCCTGTCATTAAGTAGGACATTTGAGACAAAAATCACTTGCTGGTGATGAATAATGCTCCCATTAGTCCTAATAAACCCCCAAACACACCACATGGATGATACTTATCTGTATATCCGTGTTAGAAAATTGACATATCAGACCAAAAAAAGAGTTAAAAACCTTAGCAAATATTGATGCTCGTCCTTCATTTAAAGAAAAAAAAAATAGGTTAAGTTTTAAGAAAACAATGGTTGTTGGCAGATAAACAACTGAAAACACGAAAGCTAAATCTTGGATCTTTTATTTTCTCAGACAAGATGATCAGCAGCAGCAAAAGAGATTTTGGAAGTGGACCACCACGTGTAACAAGAGATGTTAATAGTTTCTACAAGCACTGTAATGCAAAACAAATTATTAAGAAGAGTAAGGAACTACTTACCTGAGTAATTATCATACTACTAATATAAGAAATTAAGCTTTTCCTTTAATAGGAGAATAATATCACAACCTTTTGAAACGGAGAGAAAATTGCTTTGTGATTACAAAGATTGTGTTTCTAATATCTTTATAATCAAACATGGTTGCGTTAGAGGGCCGTTATAATAAAATATTAGAGTATAATAATTCATTAATATATAATGCAGATCACTCTGAGAACTCCAAGCCACCCCCTGTCATCTTCCATTGAGATAATGGATTAGTATTTAATTGATAAGCCTTATCCACAAATTAAGCCCCAAACCCGCAATCACCTAAGCCAAAGCCTAGACGATACAATTATCAAGTACATCTAAAGCCATAGACCCATTAACAGTAGGGGCAGTAGTTATTTTGGTAAAAGAATTTGGAGAAAATTTTAAAAAGTTTAAATTTAGTATATTATTTGTAAACATGTCAAATATTCTGTGTCTTTTTAATTCGATTTACGCTACAAATGCAGCATGTATTTTTTGTTGAAAATGCAAAATTTTCAAAGAACTAAACAGTTTAAAAGCTACTATTATAATTTTGGTTCCAGGTGAGGAAAAGAGATCATGGTATTATCAGTGAACAAGAAAAAGGAGGCATGCCAAAATGGGCAGTGAAATGGAGAGCATGTAAACTGGATGGTGGTATACAATTACAACATGGGTCCCTGCTATTAACCTTTCTGTCTAAGAAAAGAGGTTTTGTCCTTAACAAACAGAAAAAGGAAAGCTGTCCACAATCAAATATATATGAATTAGAGACATCAGGTAGTAGTAAGTAATGGCCAATCCAGAAAAATGATCAAAACATAACAGACAGATAAAAGAAGAAAAGCATTTATCATACTACTAATCACTGCAATTCGTTTTCATGCAACAATGCACTCTGCATAATGACCAGTCAAACAGATGCACCGTATTAGCTATTATTACACACAAAAAAGGAAAGCAAAAGAACCGTCACAATCATGCTGCCAAGCCCACTTATTACCTCTGCTAAACAAAAACCAAAGATCAAAGCAAGAAATGTAGATAGAGATAGAAAGAGAGAAAAAGGTTGCCACCACTCTCACCAGGAAAAATAAAAAGAATACTACAATAAAGTTCATACATTTTTTCTAATATTCTCCATCACTCATTTCACTTCCTTTCATACACCCAGAAAATCCTATGGCAGATTTTGGTACAATTGAACAAACAAAACAAAAAAGGAACAATTTTTTTTAAACAAGGTGCGAGTGTGTGTGTGTGTGTGTGTGTGAGAGAGAGAGAGAGAGAGAGAGAGAGAGCGCGAGAGCGTACTTTGGGAGAAGGGTAATCAAGCTTGCCGTTGAAAGTTGTATGAGACTCGAGATCAGTGCGGTTTCTGGCATTGGAGGACAATGATCTTGGCCTGAGAAATCTCTCAAAGATAGCCATAACAAGGAACATTGATATGAGAATTGCAGTGGCTACAAAACCGAAGGAAACCGCATTCACTGAGTTGTCAAAACGTCTCCAGTGCTCTTCCCTTTCTAAATTCAGTGGAGCCACTGTTGGCGGCACCGTGTCCCAGTAATCTTGAGCACCCATCTAAAAAAACCAAGCTTAAAAGCAGCCACCACCCTCTCTTTCTCTCATTTACAAAATAACCAGAGCAGAAGAAACCAGGAAACACAAACCCCAAAAAGAGAAAACAAGTAAACAGGGAAGAATATCAGAGAGCAATCCCATGTATTGGTTTCTCCTTTATGAAATGCATGGCTTTGGTGCTAATTGAGCATTACACAAACAGAGGTTGTTGAGAGTTGAGACAGAGGAATCTTAAGGCTTTTGCTTATATTGGTACCAAGACTTGTGTGCTTCTTCAAGGAGAGAAGATGAAGAAAAAAAGTGGGTGTTTGGGAGTGGTAAGAAAAGAAGCTAGCGGAGGTTGGAAAAGTGAGCTTGTCTGAAAAGAGAGCTTTATGTACTAACCTCTTACATAATAAGCTATGCTGCTTTGGGAAAACAAAATACACCCCGGTATCCGCAAACAAGATAGACCCCGGTATCTGCATGTACTGTTTTCCTGTAAAGATACTACCCAATAATAAAGCCTTGACTTACTCGTATAGTAAATTTTATACCTATACACTAGTTTTTTTTAATTTATTTTTGAGAAGATGCAATATTTTAACTTGAATCGTGTACACAAATTTTTTCTTGAAATTTCTTGAATTAAAAAATTATGTGACAAATAATAAAGAGAAAATTATGAAGAATAACCTTTCTTGATAAGAGCATTTTAAAAATAACATTAAAATAAATTTAATTATTTTTAGTCATATTTAGTCATAACTTGACGAAAATACCTTTAAAACTATTTCAAATAAATTAAACCACTTATCATAATTTTTTCTCATTTGTGCTTCCAATTTCTCTCTCTCAACATCCCATTTTCTCTGATTTTATCGATTTCTCTCTTCGACATTCATCTTCTATGCTCTCGATTTCTCTCTCTCGTGCTTTCAGAATTTTCTTTTCAGCATTTTGAAGACACTAAACGATGGTATTGATGTGCTTGAGTGGATGACTATTTGGAGAATTTGATTTTTAGGTATTTTGGATAAAACTAAACAGTAAAAATGATCACAGATATTTGAAATAGCTTTTAATCGGATCAATTTAAAATCTAAACACCAATAAACTTAAAAATTTAAAATTTATAAACATAGGTTTTCAATGAAATTTTTTTTCAATTTTTACTCAAAATAGGTCTTTTAGATAAGAAAATTTATGTTTTGATTTATAAAAATATGTTAGAAACACTTTAATCGGTATTAAATTGTTAAAAAAATCAAAAATAAAAAAAAATAAAAAGAGTTGAGAAGATTTGAAGTTTTGGTTTGTAAGTAACAATAATAGTTTAAGCATTAAAGTATAACAAAATGTTTTTGAATATGACGTGTAACAACAATATTTTTTCAACATGGTGTGTAATAACAGTGTTTTTTTTTCAACATGGCGTGTAACAACTTTTTTTAAACATGGCGTGTAACATGTTTTTTTACATGACGTGTAACAACAGTATTTTTTTAACATGGTGTGTAACAGCCTAACCATGACGTGTAATATGTTTGTATATGGCGTGTAACAACTTAACCATGGCGTATCACACGTTTTTGTACATAGCGTGTAACAACCTAACCATGACGTGTTACACTTTTTTGTATATAGCGTGTAACAACCTAACCATGGCGTTTAACATGTTTCTGTAAACGGTGGCGTGTAACATGTTTCTGTAAACGGTGTGTAACATCCTAGCATGTAATTTCATTAAGGGTAATTTTATTCAACTTGGTTAAAAATAGTTAAAATTATAAAGGAAGCTATTTTTGAAAATATTTTATTTTTAAAGGTTATTTTTTAAAATGCCCCAATAGCAAATATTTGATGTGAATTACAACCTCTGAAACTCCTCTGATTAATTTTTTCATTTTATCTTCAAGAGTCACAAACTTATACTTAGTTTTGTTCATGAACTTCGCTTGATATCTTTGTTTCAAGAGTTTTGACGACTTGATTTTGATCATGAACTATACTTGATATCTTAATCACAAATATCGCTTGATATCTTGATTGTGGACTGCGCTTAGTATCTTGATCATGAACTTTGCTTGATATCTTGATTGTGGACTTCGCTCAGTATCTTGATCATGAACTTCGCTTGATATCTTCACTTCATAAATCTTCTACTTTTCTCGATCTACGAAATGCTTTCAATTTTTGAATACCTTTGAATGATCCAAATGGCTTAGAGGAACCTTTATTTATAGTACTAGATGAGAGACTAATGATGATGTATTTTTTAAAATTATTTTTAAATTATTTTAAATTAATTAGAGATAAATAATAATGACTTATTAAAAGTTTTTTGATTGGATGGACTTCTAGTTTTTGAATTTTGATTGACCAAATTTAAGTTTTATCTCTTAATTTATTTAGAGATAAATTAATTAATCAAATTTGATTGTTATCTCTAAAATATCATAATCATTAGAGATAAATTAGATGACCAGTAATTAAATTTTAATTCGTTTAAAAATATGAATATTATCTCTAAATTATCTTGATTTATTCAGAGATAAATTGGATGAACAATAATTAAATTTTGATGGTAAAAAATATGAATATTATCTCTAAATTACCTTGATTTATTTAAAGTGAAATTAGATGACCGATAATTAAATTTTGATTGGTCCAATTTAAATATTATCTTCAAATTATCTTAATGGATAAATATATATGACACATAAGTGAATTGGTTCAACTATGTGTTTTTAAAATAATTCAACTAATTAATTTATAATTAATTATATAGTTATGACATCATCAAGTCCACGTGACGACACGTAATTGGATAATAGTTTTTTCCTTTCTATAAATGTCCCCTCAAGACTTGTTAACATATCATGAGGCAGGTCGACAAGTCTTGAAATTTAAAAAAATTCTTAGGATTTCTTAAAATCCTAATATGCCTTTGTATACTTGCAATCCAAGTTAAATTTGAATTATATTTACCCAAAGGCAAGAGAATTATGATATTGGAATATGTGTATTGCAATAAAACTATTCGAAGAAGTATATTACAATACAACGATAATCTTAGAAGATGTATATTGCAATAAAACTATAATCTTGGAATAATTATATTGCAATAAAAATGTTTGAAGAAGTATATTGCAATAAAACTATAATCTTGGAAAAATTATTGGTATGGCATTCCTGAATTAACCAGAGCTCTTTCTTTTTACTCTATAAAAAGAGAGTTCTCTTGTCGATTTTCTGCATATTGAAATTTAAGAATTGCAAGTGTTCCATAAGCTAGCAAAGCCAAATTTTCATCTTCTCAAGATTATAAGGTACACCGTCCTTTCTTTCTCTTCTTTTTTTTTGTTTAATTTTGTTAACATGGCAGCAGAAGTCATTTGCTTCTTGGTTCTTTAATTATGAAACTCCAATTATTTTGCCTATTGCCAAGCTTTAAGATGCCACATTTTGACATTATTTGGCCACCTTACATATCTAAGCAAAGGAATTATGCAAGCTACCATCCACGTTACAAGCTTATAATCAAAACAAAAGGTCTATAATTCATAGCATATGCATATCATCAAGCTTTAAGGAGCAAGGTATCATGATTTGGATTTGATTTAGCTTCTTTGTTGCACTTGCTTTAAAATTTTTTTTTTGCAAGTTTTTTTAATATTGTTGAGATTTTCAAAGCATTTTATTGCTACAACTTTTCTGATTTCTTTTCTTGGTAAATTGATTTCTTCACTTAGATTAATAGTTTGATATTCTTTTGATAGTTAAATCCTAAATCTGTTAGTCTATAATCAAGACAAGTCCAAATTGAGGTGGAAGAAATTGGTAGCCATTTGAAAAATGCTCTTTACAATAACACTTTTTGATCCATGAAGGTTGCTTTTTATAATAACACTTGTTGATCTTTGGAGGGTGCTCTTTATAATAACATTTGTTGATCCTTGTGGATGCTTTTTATAATAACACACAATTTAAAATCACCATTGTGTACTTCAAGGACTACAAAGATCAGCTTGTCATTTGTTTTTCCAAGAATGAAGATATGAAGAAGGGGTTGTTTCTTCCCACAATAAGATTGTTGATTTATCATCATTGAAGAACATAGTTCAATAATGCTTCAGAAACGTTCACAAATTTATTGACCTTGAATTGTTTTTAAAAGATCAAATCAAGAAGCTTTAAGAAATTAACCATATTATTAGGCATGTTGATGATTAACAAACTGAGTTGACAAATATTGAAAAGGAATTGAATGCTTTGTATCGCAAGAAGGGTGAGATTGAATTTTTTCTTAAAGAGAAAAGGGAAAAGGTGCAAATGAGGGATGTTAATATTTTCAAGATTAATGAAGAGATGGCTTCTGTCAAGTCTTCTCTTATTTTGAGTGAAAATGAAGTTAACTCCTTAAAATGATTGCAAAATATGTTAGAATCTTTTTGAAAAGAGATAAAGAATTTTAAGTGGATGCCTTGATTTGATTGCATTCTTATTCGTATAGCTTTTTCTTTTCACTTTTTCTTTTTTTATGTTTTAGGATTTAAACTTGTAAAATTTTTTTTCACATTGTAATGCATTTTGAATTAGGAATAAAAATCAATCTTTCTTATGTCTTTTCTTTACTTGTAAAGAAATTTAAAAGATAATCCTATGAAACCTTCAAGAAACTTTTTGTTCCAAAAATTTTCTTAAACACCACTTGAACCTCATAAGAATTCAACTTGCGAATGCAATTTGTTTCGCTTGCAATTTAATTGATGGAATCACATAACTCAAAGCGAAGTACAAACTTGATTTATTGTTCAATCATTGTAAATAATTAAGCCATGCTTAATGCAAAAGACTTTTTTTTTCTAACTAAACTTGGCAATGAGACCAAGGTGCCTATGCACATCTTAATATGAAGAAGGATCAAGTCATAACATAGTCCATTTTTTTTTTACCTTAAATTTTTTTTAAGTTGTCCTATTAAAGATTTTCAACTTAGTAGGTTTTTTTTTTGCCTTAACTTTTGACTAAATCATTCTGTTAAAGATTTTTAACTTAACAAGCTTTTTTTTTTAGGTAGTTTAACCTTTTGCCGAGGAGCATCCAACCTTCAAGCACAGTAGTACTTCAAGAATATGCCATGGATTGGGCCAACTCTTACTCCATTTTGAACAACAATCTTATATGTGCCATCGATGTAGATTTCTTGAACAACTTATGATCCATCCCATTTTGAGAAGAACTTGTTACCCATATGATGTGTAGTGTTTATGGATCTTCTCACAACAAGAACTAAGTCTTCTACTTGGAATGATCATGGTTTAACTTTTTTATTGAAAGCTTTGGACAATCGAGCTTGATTACATTCTAAGCATTGTTGTGCTTCCA